TGTGTTCGCGAGTAGCCCCGGAAGGTGAGAAGGAGTTTGAAAAAGCGTAAAAAAAACATAAATCACTCAGGTAGCTTACAAACCAGTGGAAAAGACCCTGACACCTGGCAGTTCTCTACGGTAAACGAAAGAGATAAAAAAGAAACTGTAAAAAAAAAAACCTATGACTTTATGAAGGTTGAAAGGATTACCTGAACAGGAAGTTATCGGTTGTAGTGGGGGTGAGGGGGTGGATTCAAGACATCTGTGAGACATTAGGCAACTGGTTCGACAACGTAAAGATGGTAATGTGTTAGTTTGTTTGTCCGTTTTACGTCTTTCCTTTACTAAAGCCACAAAGCGCGCTCGTATGTTGGAGAGCGGGTGAGGGGGGATGAGGAGGCATTCTGTTGACACTTGAGTCACAAGTGCAACAAACTCAGAAGACACAAAAACCACTTGGAAACTCATAACTAAAGAGATGACTTTCAGAGATACCAAGAGGAAGAAGAAGAATTATTGCAGACACCCGCCTACCGCAGTTATTTAATCTTCTAAGTACAAGCAAGGCAAATAGTTAAAACAGACAAACGAGATTTTTAAAGCCTTGTCGCTCTGGTAACACTATAAAATCCAGAGATTGAAGTCTGCTTCATTCATGGGAAAAGCTCGTGAAACGTGGGGAAAAACATATGTCCCAGTTCAACAACGAGGATCACACTCAAAACTTCCGTGTTTCGAGGAAGTCTGCGGTGTCTTCGCCATTTAAACCACGCACCTCTCAGGGACAATTTATAAGGGAACCAAATTGATGTAGCGCAGACACTCAAGAGGTGTCATCGGCAACCAACAGACATACGTCTGGAGAGCATAGGGAAAAGCATATTATTCATTTCCAGAATTCAATTTTATAGGTAGAGCAGTATCACGTAACTGCAACGTTATTACATTAGTACTACGTCTTTCGCCGTCAATGAGTTCAGTAAGACCTTGAACATAGTGCAGAATCTTTGCATTTGAAAGAGAGTAGCATCTAAATATGCTCCGTCCTTTATTTGAAATATTCTCTCATCCTGTTGTCATGTCCAGGAACCGAGTACTCGACCTTCACAGGTCTTCAAAATTGTGTCTGATCGTTTCCAACTTTGTTTTAGTAAGAGTTTCCAGGCACTTGCTACAGAATTATGTCATGTAAGTGCAGAAGATTACAGGTTTTACAAGGAAGTAAGAAACACCGAAAGAATGAGGAGAGATAGGGTAGATGTTTGATAGGAGAGAAGGAGCAAATCACATCAGAGAACTCACCAACTCCCAACGTTTCCGATTATAAAAAGACAACATAAAAGAAACCATGCATTGAACCACAATACACATGCCATCACTCCAGAATACTTCCTCTACCTTTCAAAAAGAAAGACGCCTTTTATAGCTGACGAGGAGATTATAGAACGGTCGGGTACAGTTCATAAAAGATACGAGCTGTTACCCATGCTTCACAATAATAAGTCATCTTTCTTCAATCCAGACGTTTAAGGTGGGAAAAGACAGCTGCTGATGTAGTCAAAGTGTTGGTCTGTTTTATGGATACTCAGCAGAGCTCTAGAAGACACAGCAAACATAATGTTTAAATGTTCTTCCAACAGCTGAAGTCATTCTCCCAGCAAGTGGCGAGGCGATGAGACGTTTACAGGAAACAAGCGATTGTACGACAAAACGGCGAGCCAAACTTGAACTATTTGACAAAATTCCAGAGACGTACGACTTTAGGGCCAGCATCTTGCTTTAGTTAATTTAGCTGGGAATTTTTATATTGGGAGAGAGGGTGTGTGTGTGTGTGTGTGTGTGTGTGTGTGTGTGTGTGTGTGTGTGTGTGTGTGTCTATCCTTCACTCTCGTAACTTTGCCGTCATACTCCATACGGTACTTGAGTTTAGAAGTTTAACTGTCTAGATCTAGATCTAGATCTAAGTGCTTTATTCTTACCGAGAAGCAAACTTGGAACAGCACACTGTCGAAACTTTGTTCCCGAAAATAGCAGTTCACAAGAGAGTGACAAATATACAAAAGAAGCAGAGAAAAAAAATGACGAAAGTTAGGATGAAGAAAGAAAAAGCAGCAGTTCCCCTTATGTTGTTCCGGCACAGTATGGGTATGACATTGATAAATCAGCCCATTTTCAATTCTACTGTTCATAAGAACATGTTAATATCCTCCCTTTGGGAATAATATAATTGTCTTTGATATACGGTTTAAATTGTCCATAACGACCACACATTGTCGATGAGAAAAGTGGTTGTGTTAGACAGGCCCAACACAGAACTTCTAGTGCTTCTCTCTCTCTCTCTCTCTTTCTCTCTCTCTCTCTCTCTCGCTCGCTCGCTCGCTCCCCCCTCTCTCTTTCTCTCTCTCTCTCTCTCGCTCTCTCTCTCTCTCTCTCTCTCTCTCTCTCTCTTTGTCTTTCACTTACTCCCACATAACTAACATGTAGACAGACAGACAGACAGACAGACAGACAGACAGACAGACAGACAGACAGACAGTAGGAGAATGCAGCCTGTGACAGAATTATGCTCACTTCAGAGAGGA